ATATCCTCTTTAATCTCCTTTTTCAGAGTACTGTAGTTTTCAATATAAAGGTCTAGGATCTTGCTCTTGGCCGCCACCATGAAAGGCTGCTTTCTGCTATGTGCTGCTCTGCGTTGGACCCAGATGAATATGGACAGAAACCTCCAGTAACTGTGAGCTAAATAAACCTTTCCTTCCTTCCTTCAAAAAAAAAAAAGGTCTATCACTTCCTTTGTTAGACTGAACTAAAATTGAAATTAGGGGCTGAGGAGATGGCTCAGTAGACTAAGTGCTTGCCTGGCAAGCGCAAGATCCTAAGTTCAATCCCATGTGCTGCAAAAAGAAAAAAGATAAAGAAAAAGAAATGAATCAAAGATCTAAATATTAAGACAGAAACAATAAATCTGTGGAAGAAAAAATAGGTAAAACCCTTGAAGACATAAGTGTAGGCAAAGATTTTATCAACAAAAACCCCAATTTCACAGGAAATATTTAATGGGAGATGGCTCAGTAGAATAAGTGCTTGCCTAGCAAACACAAGGGCCTGAGTTCAATCTCTAGTTCTGCACCGAAGAAAAAAAAAAAAAAAAAAAAGGTACCACACAGGAGATATTTAAAAAGAATCAATAACTGGGATCTTATTAAAAAGCTTTTGCACAGCAAAAGAAAGCACCATCAGAATGAAAAGATAACCCAAAGAATGAGAAAACATTTTTATCAACTATTCTTTAGACAAAGGACTAACAGCTAAAATATCTAATTTTAAAAAAATCAGAACCCCCCCCCCCAATTTAAAGATTCAATCTGAAAATGGGCATCTTAAATGAATAGAAACCTCAGGGAAAGAAGTACAAATACTAAATAAATGTATGAAAAAATGTTTAACTGGTCACTGGAGAGATGAAAATTAAAACAATGCTGAGATTCCATCTCCAGAAAAAATGGCTATCAACAAGAAATCAATCAACAGCAAACGCTGGGGAGGCTTTGGGGAGAAAGGAACCCTTCTCTCTCTGGGTAGCAACAGAAGCTGTTGCAAGCACTGTGGAAACAGTGTGGAAACCCCACAAAAAACTGAAACTAGAGATCCCATTTGGCTTGCTATTTCCTTCTTGGTGTCTTCCTGAAAGAGTTAAAAACATGGGGGGGGG